AAGACGGTGTGGCTACTAGACAGACCTCTCTGGCTCAGGCTGCTCATGAGACTGTCTGCAGACCCTGGGCTGTCTTGGAGGGGAGGTCTGTTAGTGAGGTTCTTTGCCTGCACTTAGCCAAGTGGCAATTTCTTAGGGAATATTGATCCGAAGTACTCACGTACACCATCCAAGCAGCATAAATGCAGTCCGGAGTATTCATGGAAAAAAGCTTTTCTTTGCCAGGCTATTTTCTAAAGTCAAAAAGATCCTTTCAGGAGCTAAACAGCATGACTCTTTCCACTTCACACCCTCCATGAAAGACACACTCCCATTTCCAGACCCCCCAGGACCCCACACCATAGTAGAAGCTGGCTAAGATGACCTTTTCATATGAAAATATTCTGTCCAACTCCACAAGCATTTTGCTAGAGCAAAGGGCTATACAAGGCAAGTTAAAAGTTATCCCTGGAGACACAAGGAAAGCTCCTCTCATCCTAGAGAAAATGTGTTCAAGTATTCTTTTACTTAAATCCTTGAAATAGAATTCTGAATGACATACATAATGTCCTCTGATAGCAGGAGAGGAATATCTCAGTGTGAATAAAAGAAAATCTAATTAGCTGTGTTTTTCATTTCTGACAGGGCCTATGAAAAAATTGGCTCTTAGGGACTTTTTACTTCCTCTTCTTTTTGTTCCATGAAAAGCAGAACACCCAGACAATACTTTTTGGTGGGGGTACTTGGGTCCTAGCCAGCTACAGTAAGGGGTTCCACTTGGTCCTATACTCAGGGGTCACTCCTGGTGGGGCTCTGGGGCCTGTATATGGTATTTAGAAATCAAGCTTAGGTCAGCTGTGTGTGTAAGATTAAGTATCTTTTCTGCTGAGCCATTTAGCTCATGCCCAGGTAATATTTCTTTAATGTCACGACTTGTCATAATGCTCATTTCTTCAATCAAATTTAGCACAGTAATCATTAACTTTAATATGCTTAAAATATTAAGCAAAATGAATACAACTTCAGTGCCAGTAAACGTGTTCATGTTATTCAGAAATGGTTTCATTTCAGAGCTCCTGCTGTCCCCGTAAGTGCTACTGAATCATTTTGGAGGTTGAATGTGAGTATATTTGGGTCGGAGAGAATATTGTAGTTAGTCAACATGCTCAGCTCCCTGGTTGTTGCTGGTCTCCTTCCATGATCATGTGTCTAACTGTGGCTTCACTGGTCATTGCTGAGGTGGCCCTGGCAGTTCCCAGCTTTCTTCATCTGAGCAGCACTGCATCCTCCACCCTAGAACTGAACCAACAAGTTCTCAGCACCCGGTGGAGTACTGCCCAGAGTGCCCCTGGGGGCTGAGCACCATGGGGGAGTTTTATCTCCCCCCCCCCCAATGTGCCTATTGCCTCAGGCAACTGAGAGTCCCAGCCTGAGTTCTGGGAGCAAGTCTCTACCTCACTTAGAAGAGGTCCCAGGGGCAGTAAGTACAGATGTGCCTTTACCCTTTTCCTCAAAATTCTGAAATATAGAACATCCAAAAAAGAAAAAATCACCAAAAAAGGTGTAGGGAGACAGCAGGTAAGTGACTTGCCTTGCAATTGGCCAACCCCATTAGATGCCAAGCACTACATATGGTCTTCTGAGTACTGCCCTGAGTGATCCCTGGGCAAAGAGCCCAGAGTAAGCCCTGAAAACCGCCAGATGTGGCCCCCCAATCAAGCACCCAAACAAAGAAAAAATATATATAATATTAGAGGATACAATGAACATAAAAGTTTGACGAAACAGTGTTAGGTGCCCTGTCCTGCAATGGACATGCATGAAAAAAATCAAGGTGGGGTGCTGTGGAGGTGACAGGCATGGCCTGCGTCTCCACCACTCCTGAAGTCTATCTTACTGTAGGTATTCTGCTTCAAGATCTGTTTTGCAGAATTTAGGATCAACTGATCTACAGAGATGTATTATGCACAGTCTCCAAAGCCAAAGAAAGTCCACCCCAGCCTTCTTTTCTGTGTGTATAAGGAAGAGTAGCTGAGATTCTGGATACAACTTCTCTGCAAAAACCAAGGAAAACTGAGGAGATCATTATTTGAAATAATAGTCTTTGGGGAGTGACTGGATTTTAGATTTTTCTTGGAATTGAGCTGAAAAATCTTCATGATACAGTCTAAAATCTGATGGGTATCTTTGAAGATGAACTGCATTACAGCCCCATCTTTTTATTACAAAAAATTGATAAATTTTTTATGAGATATCATAACATTAAAAACATTCAAATTTCCAGATCTGGAAAGAATTCATAATTTTAACCTGGGGGAAATTAGAGTATTTGCAAAGTAGAATCCTGGGGATGGAGCACATGCTTGGTACATATGAGACCCCAAGGTCAAATCTCCTCCCTGCCCCCGTCTGCCATGTTGTGGGGATGAAGCTGGTAGGTTCTGAGTGCCCTACACAGGGAAACAGAGAGAAGGAAATGTGGGATCTTCTGGAGGGGTGAGACACTACACTAAGAAAATGCAGACCCTGCGTCGTCTTCCACTGAGGTTTACTCCGGGGCACACATGTAGGATTGGGGGTGGTCTGCAGGGGCTGTCCAGAGTCATCATGGTCTGGACCAAATGCCTCAATCCAAGTAATGTGTCCAGATAATAACCTAAAGTAGACAGTGGAGAGGCTTTAAAACATATATGAATGCTGATGGGTTTGGCCTTTTTGGAGGATAATATGGACATTCCTCAAAAAACTAGAAATTGAGCTTCCATTTGATTCAGCAATACCACTCCTGGGAATATACCCTGGGGCCCCAAGACACAGAGGAGAAATGTCATTTACACTTATATGTTCATTGCAGCACTATTCACTATAGCAGACTGGAAACAATCTCAGTGCCCAAGAACAGACGACTGGATAAAGAAACTGTGGCACATCTACACAATAGAATACTATGCAGCTATTAGGAAAAATGAAGTCATGAAATTAGTTTATAAATGGATGGACATGGAGAGTGTTATGCTGAGTTAAATGAGTCAGAAAGAAAGGGACAGATATAGAATGACTGCATTCTTTTGTGGTTTATAAAAATAAAATGAGATTAGTATCCAAGGCCAGGAAAAACAGGGGCCAGAAAGGGTCAATGGTTGGAAGCTTGGCACAAATGTGTTTGGGGGCTAAGGGAAATTAGGAGAGAGAAGGGACCGGTATGACAACAATAATTAGAAGTGATCACCCTGGACAGGAACTGAGTTTTGAAAAGTTTTGAAAGTAGGTAAAGGAATATACACGATAACCTTTTCAGTATCTATACTGAAAACCCACAGGTGGAAAAGGAGAGAGAGAGAGAGAGAGAGAGAGAGAGAGAGAGAGAGAGAGAGAGAGAAAGAGAGAGAGAGAGAGAGAGAGACAGAGACAGAGACAGAGACACAGAGACACAGAGAGGTGCCTGCCATAGAAGTGGTGAGGGGCAGAAAACTGGGAACATTGCTGGTGGGAAATGTACACTGGTGAAGGAAGGGGTGTTGGAACATTATTTAACTGAAACCCAATAATGACCAACTTTGTGACTGTGCATCTGTGATCTGTGATTCAATTAAAAAATTAAAAAAATATACAGGTGTTGGGGCCAAAGCAATTATACAGCTAAAAAGGCATTTGCATTGCATGTGGCCAAACCTGGTTCGTTCCTTGGCACCCCATATGGTTTTGAGCCCACCAGGCATGATCCCTGAGCTGAGTCAGGAGCAAGTCCTGAGCACCACTGGGTGTGACCCCAAAACAAAACAAAAGCAAGAACAGGTGTTGGGGCTGGAGGGAGAAAATGAGGGTTAGGGCACTTGCCCTGCATGTGGCTGATGATCTGGGTCCCATCCCTATCACCCAAACCCTGCCTTCAATGAGCACGTCTGGGATGGCCCTTCCCTGCCCCTCAAAAGCCACAGGACCTGAGTTTCTCATCCAGATCTGGTCAATCAAAATCTGAGGTAAGGATATGGCAGGAATACATATTTTTTTCTTTTGGGGTCACACCTAGCGGTGCTTGTGGGACCAGATGGGATGCCGGGATTGAACCAGGGTCAGCCACTTACAAGACAAATGCTCTACCCACTTTGCTATCACTCTGGCCCAGGAATACAATATTTTTCAAGCTTCTCAGTGCACAAGACTGAAAGTCACTGCTTCTAGTCACTGGAATTCTACAACCCTGCCTTTGATGAACTCTATGAGGAACCAAGTATCTAAAAATGCATCTTTAAGCAAGCTCTGGCCACCAGTCAACAGCTGGAAAGCCACACAGACTCAGGCTCTCCCCACTCCCAGTGAGGCTGATGAGGCCTTTTTGAGGTCACTGAAATGGCTTACAATTACTCAACAAATATTTGCTCAATGTACAAATGGGTGCTTTTATGAAAATGACATCATCTAATGTTCTGAAAGTTCCCGCCGAACAGAGCACAGGAGAAGCCCAGGATGCAGGCTGAGGTCACCTGGTCAAGTTGTCAGAAGGTACCAAGCAGATGAGTCCCGAGGACGGGTCATTCACGGACCAAAGTCTGATCAGAAGGCTGTTCTCGGCTCATGTACATCACTTACTAATCAAAACAAACCTCCACATCCTCTTGATTTCACCAAGGTCAGAGGCTGTGCTTGAGCGATGGAAACCACAGCTGACCCTCCCCGTGGGGTCTGGTTCAAACTGCAGGAAACTGGGATTCCACACTTAGTCACAAAGATATGACAGGCTTAAAGATGAGCAAGATGCTACTTGGACTCAACCCTCAGGTGAATGGCTCTTATCACTCTGTGTTATGCATTGAGAAACCCATTTGCATGAGCACATTTGTAAATTTCCTGGACTGGGACTGGCTACCATACTGGACACCTGTGTAAGCTCTGATTGAAAAAAACAAGCTTTTGAAGAACTTCACTCGATTAAAATGCAAACCTCCCTTTATCAGACACCAGGAGAAGCTTGATGTTTCTCCAAGCTACATTGTAAACAAAAGAAACATATGATGCAGAAGAACTGTTTCTATTTTATTAAATCATCACAGTAAATCACAGAATGAAAGAAAAAAAGGTTAACTTGAGATCAAGTGGCTGATGTCTGTGAGTGGTGCTTCTTGGGGTTGGGGCACACCCTGCAGATGTGGGTAGGCAGAAAGGCCTGCCACCCAGCATGAGCGAAGGTGTGGAGCAGCAGGAAAATTAAATAACAAGAGAGCAAAATAAAATACGATGAATGCTATAACTTAATTTTTCATATTTATCACTTTTTTCCTTATTTACATGTACTAACTAGTGTAGACCTGAAAATGTAAGAAGACATTCACTTAAATGTGTATACTAGACATAGATACTGAGTGCAACAAACTCAATGCTTGCTTCATGTTGAATTGTCCTTTGGAGTCAGGCATTCCTCTTCAGTAGCTAGAAATGTAACACGGTTACATCAAAGACATCACAGTACATAGGAAAAGATCCTTCCAACCTCCAGATGAGAATAACAATGAGTGAAGTGCAGATGGTCATACCCAAGGACCACCGGGAAGACGTGGTTTGCATTGTCTACAGATCCCCGATCTCACAGGTAAGGCTAATAAAGGTTCCCCCGCTCAGTCCTGCTCTCACCAGGACCCGAAGCATCTTCCTGTGCAGTAGCTCCAGGAACTGCAGCTCCAACCATGGAAAACACCACAGCAGACACTTAGTGGCTGCATTACCTTCCTTTGAGGTTTTACTTACTTGCCTAAGGTTTACTAGTGGTAAAAGTCATAATTTTCAGGGACGGAGAGATGGTACAGCAGAAAAGGGGCTTGCCTCGCACGTGGGCTCTATCCCTGGCATCCCATATGGTTCCCTGAGCTCTGCATGGAGTAATTCCTGAGTGCAGAGTCAGGGGTCACCCCTGAGCATGGTCAGGTCTGGCCCAAAAATAAGCCAAAAACAAAGTTTTCAAAGTTATCATCTTGTGGAATTAATTTTTGTGGGGAACTTGAGGGGAGAGGCTTGTGAGACTGCAATACCAGCTTTGTTTTAGACAAAGATTAGGGAACAGAGTGCTGTCCGGGCCTCCCTAGACGCCAGTGAGGTGTACCTGTTTTAGGCCAAGTGGAGCCACTTTAGTCTACAGATGGCTGGCCTACTAATGGGACAAGTCAACGCGATGACTTGGTACATTCGCGCTCAGATGAGTGACCCTCTGCAATTTTGCTGAAACACTTATATCGCAAAAACACAATATTGGCTTTTCTAAGGAAAAAAACAAACAAAAAGTAAACCCCTAAACAAATCCAACTCAATCAATTCAATTTTCCATCTCGGAAAACAAAGCAAAACCAAAACCAAAAAACAATCCAAGTCCACAATTGCAAGAAAATCTGGTTGCTCGAGGCCTTGATTTCCCATCTCAACTCTTCAAACCAAAGCTGATACTGAGAAGGGGAGGTTCAGAGAAAGCTCCAGCCCTCGGACTGCTGGCAGTAACATGGGCCAGGGAGCTGTTAATGGGACGAAGGATGGTCTTGGTTCTGGCTGCCACAGCTGCAGGATCAGAAACAGGATCATGGAGCTGAGGCCCAGGGGGGTTCAGTATGATCTGCAGCCCCCGAATCAGGGGTGTTGGAGATGGACAGAGAGTGTCCTTCCTGGGGTTTCCTGCTGCCTGAGCATGTGACTCTTCTATTAGGTACAGTACACCCCAAAAGCAGTCTGGATCACCTGAGCACACCACACCGAGGAGAAAGCCCACACCTTTGGGGAGATGGCGACATTTGCTGGAGCAAGGGAAACCTTACCATTTCCAGGCCCTCTTATATCACTATTAGTGCCCCAAGAAGGGAACAAATCAGGTCTGATGACAAGACAACCCAGAGAGACTAGGTCCAGTCCCCCTGGGCTCAGCTGCTCCTCCAGAGGTATGCAAAGCTGGGTCTAGTCCATGGGCCTGCCTCAGGCCCTTGCTAGGAATCCCTTCGATGAAAAAAAAAATCGCTCCAGAATGCTTAGGATTCTGGAAAGAAGAGATTTTTTTCCCCTTATTTTTTCCTTCCTGTCCCTAAAACTAGTCTGGATTTTGGGTCTGACTCTTTCTCCTGCAAGGAGCAGACATTAGGGCCTGGAGAGATGGGTTATGGTGCTTGCCTTGCATCCTGCTGACCCCAGCTTAAATCTGCACCAGCTATGGTCCCCTGAACATTCATGAGCACTAAGCCAGGAATATTTGCTGAGCACTTCTGGGTATAGCAACCCCTACTCCCTACCCCCCACCAAAAAAAGATCAGGGACTACCAAACTGATGCTATGCCAGACGAAAGAGCTCTGGGGCCATTGAACATGGAGCCACTGGTGTGGGGGGTGCGGGGCAGAACTGGGAGGTTTACCAGAGAGAGGACGAGGGCACAAAGGCACGAGAGTTGGGGGTCCAGAGCAGAGGAGGCCCAAACCCCTCGTTTCAGGCCCCTCATACTCTGTTCCCACCTAAAGCCACAGGCTTGCTCTGAAGACAGGCCAAGGGCCCTGGTAAGCAGCTGTCGCTGCTGTTTGTGGGATCTCTGCCACTGACCAACATTCCTCAAGAGAATACTGGGCAGTCCCAGGTAGCGGGAAACAAAAACCAAAACAGGCTCAATCCACCTTCTATGGAGGCAACTGGGGAAAATGTCTGGATGAAATTCTTTGCACTGAGAGAGAGCACAGAGGGGAGGATGTTTGCCTTGCATGTGGCTGACCCAGGTTCGATCCCCAGCATCCCATATGGCTTCCTGAGTACTCCCAGGAGTCACTCCCGAGTGCAGAGTCAGGAGTAACCCCTGAGCATCGCAGGGTGCGGCCCCGAAACAAACAAAAGTCCTTGCATAGAATCCAGGACTCTGAAATCCTGTGTGGTGGGAAAAACTTGTAAGGGCCTGGGTGTGGCCCCCAAACACCAGGTGGGAGGGCGTGGCCTGGGGTGTGACTGCGGTGGTAGACGGACACTCGGGGTCAAGTGTAGACTAGAGCTGGGATGGGCTGTGCGGTGCGGGGACATGGTGTGCTGAGTGATGAGCTAGGGGGTTGGGAGGGAACGGGGTGGGGGGTGGGGAACTCCCTGACTCTGGGCGCTCTCTCAAGGACAGGACCCAGTATTTCTAGAATGCTCTGCATGTTCTGTGGCTGAGTGTCTCTACAGTGGTTGGGGGCACTTCTCCCCAGTTAGTGGGCATCAGGCACCAGGTGGAAAAACACTCAGCAACTAAGGTAAAACTCCTGGGCAAAAGACTCTGGGGAAAGCCAATTTCCACGATGATGAAATTTTGGAGCACATCATCAATCCTCACATAAGGAAGAGTCAGCAGTATCCAGGCCAAGGAAATTCCTCAAGCAACTTGACTTTAGTTCTGTGAGCCCCTTGCGAGGCACGCCTGCTCTGTGCGTGCGACAGAATTGGCTGGCGTGCAGAAGTCAGCTGCTCACTTTCTGGTCTTCCCTGAACACCCAGGATCTTCTCTCAGAGTCTGCCTTGAGCAACCACATTTGAGAGCAGGACTGTCTCTGGGGGTTGGTGACTTCTGCTTTTCTTCTTTTGCAACCCAAGTTCGGGAAATGGAGATGCTGCCTAGTTAGAAAATCCCAGATGCCATTTTTCAGTGATTTATCTGTAGCTTCAGAAGACGAGTAATGGGAAGATTTTCCCCAGAGTCTTCTCTGCGCTGAAGTGGGTGTGTATATGGGGGTATTTCCTCTGTCTTCTCCCTTCCTGAAGGCAGCGATGAGGTAGGCACTCAGGCTGCAGGCCAGAGCCCTGTGAAAGAGGCAGAGAAAGGCGAGTCAGGCACCACCGCAATAGCTGCTCTGGCAAAGAAGCTACAAATCTTTTCTGATGGGGCTCCAAGCAGAGCCGGCACCCCCGTGCCATGCCCAGCAACTCTGGGCCACTTGGGCTCAATGATTAAATGTGAGGACCTGAGGATTCTGGGATCACAAGGGCCATTCTGGTAGTACTGAGGGCCAGCAGGTGCTAGCAACCAAACTGGACTCCCATACAGGCAAACCACCTGCCCTCACCCATCTGCTAACTCCCTGCCTTCCGTGAGTCCTGGAAAGGAACTCAGCCCCACTGTCCACCTCTAAAGAAGTATCTGATGCTAATGAAGGCACGGGGGCTAGCGAAGCCGCCTGGCCAGATGTACTGACAAAGTGAGGAGACGTGATGGGGGCTGAGCAGATCCCCGACAGTGTTGCTAGTCACCTGTGTGTACTTGGTGACATTGTATGTGAACTGCAACTGGGTTACTCCCTAAGGGCCCCCGACAAGAGGTCAGGCCTCCACTGCTCGTCTGAGTGAGTGCAGATGAGTGCTGCGATCTGGCGCTTGGGGGAAGGAATGAGAATGAAGGGCGGCGGGCTGCATCCCCTCCCAGGGCAGGCCACTGTGCTCGGAGGAATAGAGGAATGCCTGCTGCAATATCCCGCCACTGTTGCCGGTGCGTCTCCGGGGGCGGCTGGGAGTGAAGCAGCGTTTCATCACCCTTCCCCTCACTGTCTATTTTTACAACCCTGTTGTATCACACCCAAGCTTCCGGGCTTGGAGCAAACCTCAAAAGCAGGCTTTCCACCCTCTCCCCGCACACTTCGCTGCCAGCCATTTGGCCTGTGCCATGTTTATTATTATTGGCATTTGCAATTCGTTGGCGAAAGTGATTCCACTCCCAGGCAGCATCTTCTTCTCGGTCTCTGCTCCTCCCTGACTGCTTCTAGGAAGAGTCTGGGAGGTCAGTACTTGCAAGCTGGGGCTCAGGAGAGAAAGCTCCCCTCGAAAGGCATTCTGTAGTGTACCCAGAACTGGGGGCTTCCCCGTCTCCACAAGGGGACCCAGGAAGGGAAAGCAGAAAGAGAGGAGGAAGTCCAGGCCTTCTCGCCTGCTATTCAGTCCTGAAAATGAGCTGATATTCAGAGCTAGACCGACAAAACAGCATGTGAGGGGCTTGTCTTGCAGGCAGCTGACATAGAATGATCCCTAGCACCACATCTGCCCCCGAGCTCGCTAGGAGTGATTCTTTTATGTGGAGCCAGGAGTAAGCCCTGAGCATTGGTGTGGCCCCCACACCAAAACCAAACTTACAAAAAGCCAGAAAACAAAGCAAAACTAGATTGATTTGACAAGAAAGCACTGTGATGGGGGACAGCTCTCTCCAGAGATGCGGTTGCAGGCTGTCAGCCACTCCACCTCATCAAAACACTCCCCTTTGAAATACCTTCACTTCAACTTGCTTAAGACTTTACATTGTTTATAGTCTACTTTCAGCATGCTTCTCCCACTCAATGCCTCTTTTGCAAAGCACAACACCCAAAAGGAGAGAGAGAGAGAGAGAGAGAGAGAGAGAACAAAAGGGAATGCCCTGCCACAGAGGCAGGGTGGGATGAGGTGGGGGAGGGGGGTGGGAGGGATATTGGGACCCGTGGTGGTGGAAAATGGGCACTGGTGGAGGGATGGGTACTTGATCATTGTATAACTGAAACCCAAGCACAAAAATTTGTAAGTCTACAACTGTACCTCATGGTGTTTCACTAATATAAATTAAAAAAAAGCAACTTTACATTGTTAACTAGGAACACTGCCCGCAGGGCAAAGCCTGGCAAGCTTCCTGTGATGTATCTGATATGCCAAACACAGTATCAAGTCTCACAATGGAGATATTACTGGGCCCATTCGAGCAAATCGATGAACAAAGGGAGGACAGTGACAGTGACCCCTGACATTCACTATTGTCATCAGATCCGATAGAAAATAAAGCAAAAGCCAAAAATAAAAAGGCGAGAGAAGCGGCAAAATGGGCATGCACTCGATGTGCATGTGGAAGACTCGGGCTGGATCCCAGGAGTGATTTAACACCCACCAGGTGTGAGTTCCCTGAGCACAGAGGGGTGTGGCCCAACTGCTCCCCCTCTGACACTCTGCCCCCAAACCCACCAAAAATGAAACCAAAAACAAACATACAAACAGTAGAGATAAAGTCAAATTTAAACTGGTAGTAAGTGAAAGATGAGAAAGGACACTCGGGCTGGGAGGGCGTGCTCTTGCCGGGGGCAGTGGAGAGGAGCCACTGACTACAGCAAAGCAGCTCTGGCTTTCAGAAGTGGCAGGTTGTCCGCCTGGACCTGGGGGAGTGTGCGGTCCTGGAACCTCCTGACCCTGCTCAGCACAGTCCAACCTGCACAGTGCCAGCCATGCCCAGTGCCCGCTGTGTCCTAGGGGGTACGCAGCTGTGAGGCAAGAGTGAACAGTCACAAAGAGAGGAGTACCCTCCATGCTGCTCTGCCTGTCTGCGTGTCTTCAGACTTTCACGGGAGGGGAGGGGTGTGGTGGTCCCTGAAAGAGGCCTTCTGCCAGGAGGAGACTCGAGAGCCCTGCTCTGCCCGATGGCACTGGGACTCTGGCCACCTGATTGGGGTGACCGAGACAGGCCAGTTGGGAGAAGTCTGGGCGCTGGCCCAGAGCTGGGGGTGTGTGTGCAGGATCTGGGGACAGGAGCAGTGACCTGCAGCCGGCCCAGCCAGTCTCGAGACACCCCAAATTCCAGATGTCAACAATCTGCTTCCAAGCTGAGAGATCAATGGCATCTGCACCCCGTGTCCACGATGGGTGATGATGGTGAATTAATGGTTAATATACCATGGCTCGCTCACTGGCCTTCTCTTTCATCTCTGTCCTATAAGTAAGTAAAGTAAAGGCCCTCCCGTTGATCATCGATTTGCTCGAGCGGGCCCAGTAACGTCTCCATTGAAGACTTTGCTGTTACTGTGTTTGGCATATCGAATACGTCACAGGGAGCTTGCCAGGCTCTGCCGTGCGGGCGAGATCCTCTCGGTAGCTTGCCGGGCTCTCCGAGAGGGGCGGAGGAATCGAACTCGGGTCGGCCATGTTGGCTGTGTGCAAGGCAAACGCCCTACCACTGTGCTATCGCTATAATCGCCATTATTCAGAACCATTAATATTTGTTTTAAGGCTCGGGCTCAGGGATCACGGCTAAGTACCTCTGGGCTCCAACCTGGGTGGCAGCTACTATGATTGCTTTATCCTCGAGGCTCTCCTGGGAGCCTGTGAAGCAGCTCAGCCCGGCACTGCCCTACCATGTGTCCAGTGAAAGGCCAGCACCCCTGAGTTAGCCCCGAAAGAGGGACACAGAGGTCCCACCTGCACAAACAGTGTTCCTTCTCTGCCCTCGCCCATTGCCAGTCCAGGGTTCTGCCTTCTGCCCTTCCTGGGGCTGTACCCGATAGCAGGCCCAGGGAAAGCTGGGCTCCACTGGGAGGTGGCCACAGAGACCCTCCTCAGACAAGTGTTGAGGACCAGGCCCAGCAGGCACTTATTCCGCGCCACTTTAGGACCCTGTTCCTGTCTGTCTGAGCGACACAGAAGGGGGAAGCCTCGCTTTCCTGGCTCCCATGGCCCCCACATCAGGGGCGGGGGACAAAGACCTCCTCCAGGATGGCAGGTGTTCGTTCAGATCCCACCTGGAGTGCAGGAACAGAAGGGGGAGGCGTCAGAGCTTCCCTAGCCGGCTGACACACAGGGGCCCTTGGGAGATGCAGCAGGAGGGCGTGGGTTGGGAGGGGCACTGGCAGGGTCTGGGGTCATGGTGCAGAGCCCGCCCCCACGCAGGGAGGCTGCCTGGGCCTGCTGAAGCCTTTGTCTTACCTTGCTCAAATATTGCGATGGATCTTCAGTCATCTTAATCTGAAGGGAAAGAACATAAAATCAAATGAATTCATGGCCAGCTTCTCTGTAGCCTGAGCTGATCATGAACACAGTGTTAATCACACATTTCCTCTAAACTGCTGAGTTTTTGGCACAGCCTCAGGGATTGTAGCAAATGGAAAGTGGAAAATTCACCCTGGTTGGGGCCAGAGAGAGAGAGAGAGAGGACAGGAGTTCATACACTTACCTTTCATGTGGCCGACCTAGGTTTGACCCCCAGCACTATATATACATCTCCTGAGCACCTCAGGAGTGAAGCCCAGAGCCATGGTAAGTCCTGAGCACCATTGGGTATACCCCTCTTCCTGAAAAACAAATAGAAAACAAAAAAAAAAAAAAAAAGAAAAAAATATGCCCTGGAAGGACAGAACTATGCTGGCCTCACAGCGAACCACAGAGCAGACATCAGCACCTCTGGACGCTGAGCACAGAAGCTCTGAACAGTCCGGCTGCTGTGTGTGCTTGACTCCTTCCCGGGCTGACCTGGCCTAAGAAGCAATCAAATGTAGGAGCTTTCAAGGCCAGCATTTAGAAATCAAGAGATGAACTGAAAAACAAACAAACAAACAAACAAACAAACACACAAAAAACACCACTCTAGGCCTGCGGGTTGAAATCTCAGTTTCACTGGCATGGTTAATGGCTGGGCCAGTGCCTGTGTGGGGGTCCCCAGAGAGGAAACGCTGACAGGCTGCACAGAGGACAGTCTGAGAGAGGCCCTGAGCACTGGGATCACCTCATCATGTGAAGAGCAGGAGGGACATTACAGCAAACCCAAGACACGAACTGAGCTGTGCAGTGCTGGGTGTCCCGTGCTCTCCATTATACACTCCCCTCCCACCCCCATCAAATTCTTCTGTGAGTTTGCCTTGAGAGGCAGTTTCTTTTAAATTAGGCACCATCTCCTCAATGCCAAGTACCACAATGCTCCAGAATTCAGCATCACTATGCCACCACCAAATCCGGACACAGGACGTCCATCGGTGATAACCGACAGCAGCCTGGACAGATGAACTGTGAACTGGGGTTTCTGCCGACCCGCC